AAAATTTTTATCTGATATTAAAAATTATTTTTAAAAGTTGCAGGCAAATTTGGCTGCAATACAATTTAAGAGATAGTTTTTATATTAGATTATTTTTTGCTTATTGTTAGCTTTCTCTTAATAAATGATGAGCAAGATCACTCAAGATATAAAAAAAAAAAAATATAATAATAAATAATTAAAAAAATATGTTAGGACTATGTTATTAATCACCTGATTTTTTTTTATCAGTACCTTACCTCTTCTCCTCTCAGATTTAAGATATAACTGATCAGGTTCTCTATATATAAATAAAATTTTTTTGATTTTCTCATCCTCTAGAAAATCACCTGATTATTGACAGCTTACTTAAAGTTTATTTGATAATAATATAATTACAAACTATAGAGAATTCAAAAACTCTCCTTACTGATTACCTAAACTATTACGGAGCAAAAAATTTTTTATTACAAAATAATTTACAATTCTAAAAAACCTAGCAAAATAGTAGTTATTAAATAGAAGTGCGAGTTGTATAGTCTAGTATTCTTTATATAAGAGACAAAAAGATCTAGCAAGTAATAATACTATTATTTTAGCCAAAAGTTTACATTATAGCATTCTAAAGAAAAAGGAGAAGAAAAGAAGTAGTAGAGAGGAAGAAGAAACAATAAACAGTGTTTTGCATTAGAGCAAATACTTCAACACTCTTTTCCTTCATAACTAGTTTTTGCAAACAACTTTTTCTATTCTTTGACTAATAAAACTGATACGATGACTATAGCTTTTTTTATTTTGAAAAAAGTGGAGATTCTGGCTCATCCTCAACAAAGGATCAGTACTTGTACTACTTTCTATTTTAGGCAAATCATGTCTTAATTGTTTACAAGTCAATTAACATATATGAAGCCAACACAGATCTGCTTACATAAATAGAATGATAGCTAATAAGAAGTTATATTCGAGATTTATAGTATATGTGTTAGTACTATAAATAATTTTTATTTTTTATACCTTAGCATGAGCTATAATAGTGTGTTCTATCTTGATTATCTTTTTTTCTACCTTCTTTTTCTTCTTTTATTTTATCTTTATATGTTCTTTTTTTCGTATAGGTAGCTCTTTCTCATATTTTGTTATCTCCTTTTTTATTTTTCTTGTTATTTGTTTTTTTTCATTAGTCAGTTGAAATAAAAATCCTTCAGCTTGGAAAGCTAGAAGAAGAAAGTTAGAGAATTAGATAATTTTGATAAGAACAGTATATAGTAATCTTCTATTAATCGATTGAACATGACTTTGTTTAGACAAATTGTTCTCTCAGAAGGAAAATTTGATTATTGCAATTAGATCGTATCTGAGTACCATTTGGTAGCTGAGTAAGTTTGGAATTGTAAAGAGAGGATATTTATGTAGCTAGCTTAGTTTAGTTTATATTTATGTTATAACATTATTATTATGTTTTCTTTCAATAAATGAAGAGCAAGTTCGCCTAAGTTCAAAAAAAAAAAAAAACTATAGAGAATTATCCTTGTATGATCTCATATATCAAACTAATAAAATCTGCTTAGCTATAAAAGCTACTTTAATAATAAAAAAAATAATATAATTTGCTAAATAGTAAAACTAAATTTTTTTTTTTTTTTTTTGTTATTAAAGGTAGCTTATATTGCTAATGTAATTTTTTTTTTTTTTTGTTGTTAAGATGGCTTACATTGCTAAAGAAATTTTATTAGTGTTATCAATAAGATATATATTGATAATCTCTACTGTTTGTAATTATATAAAAAATGTATAACAAGCTATATATATAACTTTAGTCATTGTCTATTTTAAGTAGTCTGCTATGTAGGTGTTAGGCTACCTAATTAGTTCTATACTATGCTGCTATACTTGTAATCCACCTGTGAGTTATCTATTTAAATACTCTGTTTATTAACTTATATAGATTCAATTTAACATTATTACAATATCTAACTACTTAAACTAACTAGCTCATTACAGATCTATTTATCTAGAATAGCTTAGATTTTCTTAGAATACATTATATCAGATACATTGCTAGTATTATAGAGCTAGTTAACTTCAAAACAAATCTACTAGAGTGGTCTGTATCTATTTTACAAATTCATCTAGCTTAAACTAGAGCTCAGATCTGGTGAATAACAGTTATCCGTTTAGTCAGTTTTTTGAATATCTGCAAATTTCAGATATCTATTTATAAATTATCTGAATAAATCTATTGAATTAATCAAAAATATAGTCAATTCGAATTTTTTATAACAAACAATCTATATAAAAAATTTTATGGATTTTATTATAAAGAATTATTATAAAAAAAGCAGCCGTAATAAGAATATATGTATTTTATTAATATTATCAATGCATGTACATAGTAATATAATTCTGAAAAATAATGCTAATAAATACAGTATTTTATAACACTATATTTTACAGAAATATTGTACTAGTGCAATTGGTATTTCTTTTAAGAAATAGCATGCGTTTAAATAAATCTGCATTTAAACAAGTACATTTTGTAGTCATAAGATTCCTAGTATCATTAAAGAGTCGTTTGCTGAGTGTAGATGTAGCTAGGATACATAAGTATTTTTATGCAATTTTACTTAATATAGGAAAATTCGATTGCTGATCATTCTACCATTTCAAAGGACATTGAGTATTTGAAATTCTTGGTAATACAAGATAGACTTGAATTTCAGTATTAGTATTAGATTCTTGAATAGATTCATACATTGCAGCTAATAATACATTTTCTTCCTCATTAGGATCATCATCCATTTGTACTGTATCCATTGGTATTAGTTCTTGTTCTTTAAATGCTTCATATTCAGTTATTAAATACACTTCAGCCTCAAGTCGTTGAGAATAAGTTGCTAGTTTCATTTTTTTGGTTCTAGGATCAAGAAGTGTTGCAAGAAGAGCTTCACAGATAGGATATTCTCAGTAATAATTTAAAGTATTAAATAATGCAATTTTTATATTTTCAACTATTCCATCACAAACTTGTGGAATATTAATCTTAATTCAGTTAAGTTTTGTTTTAGATTCAACATCAAGTATTTCAGGTTCATCTATAAGATCAATCTCTTCTTAAAACTCTTGATCGTCATCAAAAGCTGTATTAGCATTATCAAGATTTACATTAACTTGAGTATCATATGTAATATTAAACAATTTTTTAAGAGATGATATAGTTGGAAATATATATGATATCATAGTATATTTACTTCTACTAAGCATTTTTGTAGTATTAGCGAAAGGTTGTAAAACTTTAATTAAATCTTCCATTAATTGCTATTTATCAGATATTAATATGATTCGTTTAAACATCGTGTATCTTTTCTAACTATAGGATCATTATTATAACTTATTGTTAATTGCATCATTTCAATTGCTAGTTTTAATTTTAAAATTCTCAACTATGCTATATATATCGAATCCTATCTTGTTGCAACATCTATTACAACTTTAAGGTATTCATAATTATTATTTATACTATCACATACAGTACGTCTTAAAGATATTTGTGCTATCGCAAGTTGTTCACTTTGTTTAGGAGATGTAAAAAATTGTATCAATCGTTTTGCTCATACAACTAAGACTTTAACTAGTAATAATCCTTTTCCTACAACTAGTTGTAGAGTATGCGTACTACAGGAAAGACGATTAACATTTTCAATTTCTATAATAGTTTTTTTTATGTTTTTGGCATTATCTGTTGTTACCATAAAACATTTCGTATTCAAGTTCCAATCTTGAATAATAGATTTTAATATGGAAACAATTGTATGCCCAGTATGTGGGTGTTTTATTTCATGAATAGCTAAAGTGATTTCTTGGAGCTCAAAATAAGAATTAATCTATGAACAAGTAACTCCAAGATATCCACTATTGCTGCGAGAAATCTAAAGATCTATAGTTAGTCCACAATAACTCATTGAATTCTTTATCTTATCTTTAAGAGTAGCTATCATCCAATCATAAGACATATAGATTCGAGTTTTAATACCTTTATTACAAGGTATTTCATAATATGGATTAAGTTTTTTTAGATGTTTTATAAATGCTAGATTTTTTAAAATAGAAAATGACTGCGAATCAGATATAAGAAATTCAGTTACTATTTCATCGACTTGCTTTTTATATTCAATATTATTTTTAAACTGTTGATGAAACATTTTATCAAATGATAGATGAGAAGTATCTAATATCAATTTGCTGAACTTTGTAACTCTGTGTATACTTTGAAGATGATAACTGAAATTTCCAGTACTACTATCTGTTTCAATAATCTGATTATATATTGTGCCTTCTTTTGTTAACT